ACCAAAGCTAGGCACGCACACGCACACTTCCACATACTCACACACACACTTTATAGTCCGTTTCAGAAATATTGCCCAGCTTTAAAAATATGTATCCAGTAACCATTCAGTTGAAGTAAAGTAAATGACCCTTTTCAACGCTTTTAGGCGTATAGGGCTAGACCTATATTTATATGTGGTCAGTATAACGCCGGCCACCTCTACTTCCCTGGACTGCACCCGGTACCCACTCAAGGCTGGGTCGACCTGGGAGCCAAGGTCATTTTTGAAAACAAAAAGTCCGGCTCCTCCAGGGAGCGAATCTACGACCTTCCGATCCGCGGCGAGCGTCTAGCCGCTCCGCCACGGCGACTTCCCAGCCGTTCAGTTAAGTTGTTGAAATTTGGCAGACAACCCGTTATAATCATGTCCTTGTAAAATTTTTTGTTTTTAAATGTACACAAACGACTAGTTTTCATGTTGCGAAGTTTACATCGATTCAAACCAATAATAATCAGAAAAACTCCACAGGAGAGCATGCACTGCAAGGGTCTACCAGTCTTCAGTAGAAAATCCGTCATCGACAATTGTTTCAGCTCGTTACTTCCTAAACAGTTTCAAAAGGTGGGCCGACCTGGTTCATGAATCCAGGCCCCAGTTCTTCCCTGCTGCGCTCTGATGGAATAACGTACTTTTTGGAAGAGACGAGACAACGGTGTAATCAATAGGTAACTGGTGAAACCAAACTATCAGTAAGCTTGCAATTAATTAACTGAGTAACGGGCACTTTTCAAAACACCAAACTGCTACCCACAAGGCATACTCCTCACCTGACCCACTATTCCTTAGATAACAGAACCACTGCGCCCCTAACAAGCATGTCCTAAAAGTAGACTAATTAGAGGTGTTTCCTTCGAAGTCGGAGGGCATCTGCTGAGAATCGAGAAATCAACAGTCTGAACTCCACGTGTGGGAAAAACAAAAATAGACCCACTGCTTACCCAACAAGCAGATCGTAAGAGTCAACTAACTGGGGACTTCCTTCGTTTGCATGAGAGGCAAGGAACCAGCAATCAGCATACCATTAAGTCAGATCAGTTAAACGTATATGAGAGCATCACTCAGGTTCTGGAACAAGACCCAATGCAAGACAAGACCCTCCAGAGGTGGACAAACAAGCAGAACGCGAAGAAGAAGAAGAAGAAGAAGAAGAAGAAGAAGAAGAAGAAGAAGAAGAAGAAGAAGAAGAAGAAGAAGAAGAAGAAGAAGAAGAAGAAGAAGAAGAAGAAGAAGTAGAAGAAGAAGAAGAAGAAGAAGAAGAAGAAGAAGAAGAAGAAGAAGAAGAAGAAGAAGAAGAAGAAGAAGAAGAAGAAGAAGAAGAAGAATACAAGCCCATGACGTGAAACAGGCCATTGACTTTACCTGGTGATTCTTTACATACGAGCACACCACTGGAGTTTGCGTGATTTTACAATTGTAAAGAGCTCTTAAGATATGCAAATGGCGCGATAACCGATTGATACTTAAAACTTTCGACTGTGCCAAAGTGGCAACATATGGTTTAAAATTCAGTTATTAATGAAACCAAGAAACACACACTGACTCTCTGCTAAAAGCTAAACAATGCTGTCTGCAGGGCTCTGCAATTTCACCAATGCTCTTCAATATGTATACATATTTTGGGCTGCGTTATCGCAGTCGATAAGAGGCTCGCTTTCAAACCCAGCTGCGTCTCGCTGCAGCCCACGGTCGGTGTACGAAACCGGGTGGTTCCCGGGGTTCACCCAGCTTCTAGGAAATGGGTACCAGAGTTGACACTCTGGGGTAAATGGAGGAACGTCGCTGTAGCTACAGAGTTACGTGCGAACGGCAACACAGGCGGACAATTCTTATCAGCTGTCCGTACTGGTGGCAGAGCACTTATGGTTTATAACCGTGTGCAATGACGCTGGTTCACATCTCCCGACTTTACCTTTTTATATATACAAGCATGACTACAGAACTTGAAGCACCAGGTGTTGGAAGGATACTGACATATGCAGATGATGTTGTTACATATAGGCAGGGGAGTGATAGGCAACGGATAGCCCACGAGCTACAGGCAACTGACTGGTGTGTAGAAATGGTTTCTATGATCAACTCAAAAAAGGCGGCTGTTTTGTGGTGCTCTCTGGACAATACAATTGTAAGAGCTAATATTCCAAGACTCACAATTAATGACAGAAACATCAAAAGAGAAAGCAAACTGAGGTATCTGGGTATCATTTTCAACAGAAGCCTGTCCTATAGGGATCATGTGGAAGCATTTGCGGTGAAAGGAACTCAATGCTCTCAGGATTATGGCAGCAATTCACATAGAATGAAGAATGCAGTTCATAATGTTCCAAAATGTGATCCTGTAGGTGATAGATTATGGACTTGGAATGCTTACCATATCAAAGAGTCAGCTGATAAAGCTTGAACGCATTCAGAATGAGGTAATTCAGGGAGATACAAGAGATACAAGGGCAGTTTGTATGCGATAAATACATTGCATTGCAGACAGGCTCAAAGTTCTGCAGGCATAGTCATATCTCAGACAAGCTGCAGACAAGAAGCACCTCCTGCATGAAGCCCTAGGTAGAGCTAAGGAACACAGACAGAAAAGAGGAAGGTCTTGGATGGCGCGAGCTTAAGATACAATCAGACGTGTGCAGGCCTGATAAATTTTGGCAAGGAGAGGAGTGGGTTAAATTGTCTGAGCAAGTTTCAGACTTGTGTAGTGTTCTTATTACTTTAGGTCGTAAATGTAGGGACTGGCCAGCTGGTGCTGTAGAGTCAAAAGTTCAACAAAAGATTCATGACAATTTCCGCCTAGGTGACGTGATAATCTATACAAATGGTTCTGTGTTGAGAGGCAGATAAAGCTCATTGGGTCCTTAGCAAAAGCGAATGGACGTCGCTTAGTGCAACAAAGCCTGGCATATGATATCACAACGTCTAGTTTGAGAATGGAGGTGGAGGCAGTCACTGCTGCCTTGAGAATCAGCTGTACACACATACCGTGATTGTTGCTGACTCAAAGAGCATGCTGAGAAAGGTGGAGACAGGCATGCTCCGTGCAGAGTGGCATGCATCACTTCAGAGGTCCTGGGTAGTTAGCATCCTTTGGATATTTTCTCCAGGTGATGCCGGTCTGTGGACAATCAGCAGGCAGATAGACTGGCTAAATCTGCACCACTTGGTGTGAACTGATGTATGACAAGCTAGATGTTGTGAGGGCCCTTTGAGAGCAAGTGAACAGTGTGGGGGCACAGATAGATCATTACAGTCTGAGGAGAATGGCGCTGCAAGGAGTTACCAGGGGATCTGGCCAACCCTCGACACTCAAGGGAATGGTCAGATGAGTTTAAATCAGACAGTTATTGGTACCATCGGAATTGGAACTCTTCGTTTGCTGTGAAGATGTGAATGGAGCGCTTAGTGGAGTGTCCTGAGTGCTATTATGTCAATTCTTAATTCAACATCCCTTTGCAGAACAGTTGGTCTTCCACTGAGAGCATTAGAAAAAGCAATAGCTCTAGTGACTACCTTAGGAATCTAGAAAATACATGGACTCTCAACTAAAGAAAAGAGTCTTAAAATTAATCCACAACATGCAAAGTATAAAGTGAAGGCTGGAATTTTTTTCTGATTGTGTGGACTTCTAGTAATTTCCCCTGGTCTCTGGGTAGTAAGATCGGACGCCCATGTGTAATGCTGCACAGGTAAAAAAATCCCTTGGCAGTTGAAAATCAAAAAGAGTAGCACTGCCCAGTCAAAATTTGGAGTATAAAATTTACCAATAAATATTGCAGGATCCTCGCTGGTGCTACGGAGCCCATACACTACGCTGGTTTTTTGGACACAGACTTGAGTTAGAAGGAGAAGAACTTATGGGTTACTACCAGTGTGCCATAATGTTGATCCGTTGTTCAAACCTCAAACCACAGAGGCCGCCAATTTAAAATGTTTTATTTCCCTGTGTTGGTTTTGAGATCTCACTGTGGGAAAAACAAGAATACACCTACTGCCTCCCCAACAAGCATGTCATAGTAGTCGACCAATTGGGTGCTTCTTTCCAAGTCGGAGTGCAGTGCCCAAGCAGCAAGGAACAACCAACTACACCCAAATAAGCCAGTAAAATGGATATACACCCTAGCCCTGGAATAAAGTCAAAGTCAGAACAACCAGGACCTTAGGCAGGAGCTTACAGCCGGTGAATAAAGAAAAAGAAAACTTTTTGTTGTAAAGGTTTCAAAGATCCTTTTGACAACAGCGGTCCATCGGGTGTATGATGCAAGACTCACATTGTTCTAGACCAATCAGCACTTAGTTGGGGATGTAGGCAGCATCCTGCTGGCCAGCTTGACTTCCCTGGGGCATTAAATGGAAATCCCTGTGTGGGTTCTAGGCCCCCACTGTGGGGAAAACAAGAACAGACCCACTACCTGCCCAAAAGCATGTTGTAAGAGTCGACTAACTGGGAGCTACCTTCGAAGTCGGAGTACGTTAGCCTGAGAGGCAAGGAACTAACAGCCTGCATGCAAATGAGTCAGACCTGTTAAATGGATATGCTTGCAACACTCAGTTTCTGGAACAGGACTAGAGTCCATAAGTGGACGAACAACCAGAACTTTCAGCCGGAGTTTACAACCGGTAAATACGAGCAAGAAGACGATGCTCTTTTCTATACCATTAGGCATAAAGCACTAAATCTATATTTTACAGAAAAACTGGCACTTCCTAGGTGATGTGGTCAATATCAAGATGGCCGCCGTTACTTTCGTGGATATTACCTAGAACCAATTTTAAGCTGGATCAACCTGAAAGACAAAATCATTACTGAAAAAAATCCGGCTCAACGTGGATTAAAACCCTTGACCTCCAGCCCAGCAAGAGAGCATCTAGCCACTACATTACCAAGGCTCCCAGTAACTTTCTTACACAGTAAAAACAATTTTCTGGGTGAGAATTGTAAACAAATCTAAAAAGCACATTACCTTCACTTTCCGTTGTTTAGTCAGCAATGATCTTGATGTGTCTGCATTCTCCCCGATAAAAATGATGTTACAGGGTGCAATTTTCTTGTGCCGCAACTGGTACTCCATGGCCTGATCATCTGTCATTCCAGAGAGATCCAAAGCAGGAACAACTTCTTCACCTGCAGAAGCTTGTTGTTTTTTCCTCTCTCTTCGTTTCTTTGATAACTGGCTGCTATCAAAAATAGGTAAAAGTCCAGTGGATTTGTTACGGCTTTCTTCCATTTTTCTCCGAACGTTTGAAATTTCATTTTCGATTTCTGTGGCAAGAGAGTCATTTTCACTATCTGAAGATGTAGGGTTACCCGAAGCTGAGTCAAGATTTTTTCTGGAAGCTTCCTGAAGGTGTTGTTCTGTGGCATCGGATGAACTAAGAACATCTTCGGCAACTTGACTTGGGTCAAAATTGTGCTTTTTTAACCGCTGAGCAACTATACTTGGGATGCCTTTGACAGGCAGTTCTTTGGGATCAGAATCATTTTTATTAACATGACTCAAGGGCTGGTCATTCAGCGCAGGTGATTCATCTGAGTGTGACTGATCTGAGTCCACTGCGTCTTTGTAAGCATCTGATAATAATTCATGACCAGCTGTGATGCTATTTGACAAATGACTGGTAGGCTTTGCATCATCATCTTCCTGAGCTGTCGAACTTACTGAAAAGGTAACACGTTTTTTTCTGTCCTTGAAGTTACTGACAAGGGGTGCAGGCTGAGTCTCTAGTGAAGCAAGTAATTCTTTTACGATGGGCTTTCTCACATTTGACCTTTTTATATCTACACTGTTAGAGACTTCTGCTGCTGCTATATTTTTTGACTTATTTTCAGAATTTGACTTGTCATTGTCCAACACATGTTTTTGGCTGTTTTTAGCTTCTTTTATTATCTGATTCCTTATAGGCACTGGTTTGCTTTGGTTATTTGTATTTTTATCAGAAATGTTACTATTTGACTCAAAGATTCTTCTTTGAGATGAAACCTTGTTGGTTGTCTCAAGTCCTAAATGACTATAATCATTCGCATCAAATTGTGCTTTAGCCTCTGCTGAACGGATAGCATCCCTCAATTGTTCAGCCACCTCATTGATACCATCAACCTCATCATTCAGTGGCGTGTAATCTCTAACTCTATGTGGCCTGTTTTTTTGGGGACTTAGATTTGCCTTGGCAAATATCATTACTGGATGTTCGTAATGCTTGCCATCTTCAATCCTATCTTTGAAAGAAGAGCTGCTGACTGCAAGGCTGGATTTCTGATTATCTGAAATAGCAGAGGAATGTAATTGTACACCTGTTACTGTTGCCAGGAGACTGGGTGCATTATATGAAGAAGTATGATGGAGACTGTGAAAAGTTTCGGAGGTTTCCAAACTGTTTTCTCCGTCAAATCGGAACAATCTCCCATCAGCTGATGAAACTGGACTGAAAGCAGATGGTGATGTAGGATTAGCATTAGTGCGATATGGTGATGATGACGTCTGAGGTCTTACAATGCTCATTCCTGAGTTGCTAGAAATGGCGGCCACAGACTTCTGAACATTTGACCTAGAAGGCAAATCTGAATCTGGAACATGCCTGGCATTTTCTATCTTTGAAAGACTAGAACTCGGTTTGGCAAGAGTATCGCTGGTATGTTTCGGTGATGCCAGAGGCGAAGAACTGTGTGAAATGACTCGATTTAATGCAGACTCTTGGCTTGATGCAGAAACATGTGATGCCTGGAGTGGTGATAAAACTGGTTTTACTGACTGCACGGACACAAATGATGGTGAGTCCGACCTCTGTCTTCTTGAATGTAGGACACTTGCTGAAGATGCACTTTCAAAAATATTGCGCACAGTAAGAACTGTATTTGGCTTCGGGAGTTCAGCTTGAAGAACTGATTCATGGCTGTTTAAAGCTGTTGTTGTGTCACTATACCTTTCATTATCATCAGTATTTTCTAATAATACGCCCGAGTTCACGCTATCATTCATAATAATCTCATCCCTGGCTTGATCACCATCTGCAGGAACAGTCTGAATATCTCTTTGGAACTTGTGAGTAAACAGCTGTTTGTCCATTCCCCATTGTGTGTCTGAGTGTTGATGGGAGACAGCGCTGCCACGATGATACTTCTGGTGGGTATGGTTCAACTCTTCAATACTTCGAGTTCTATGTGACAATTTCGCCACGGACAAATATGATAGCTTCTCATAACGCAGGCCAATAGTTCTAGATACCACAACACTGTCTTTAACAGTTTCATTCTCCCCAGGCAGTTCGTCAAGACTCGACGACCTCTTCAAATGTGGTGCAGGAATTATTGGCTCTTCTCTAACAGTTAGTGATGAGAACTTATCTAGGAGCTTGTGTACATACCCTGAACCTGGCCGATACTCGCCAATATCGTCATCCACCGAAGAACGTCCATTTGTACTCACTCTCTTTGTGTCTTCAGACACCACTGGTTTATTCGCCTGTCGAGGATACGGCGGTGCACTATGTTTGATTCCAAAATTTTTATAAAACGGATTTTCGTGGACAGATTTAATACTCTCCATTGTGGCTCTAACAGACCTACCACTGGAGACGTCGCCATTCTGCTGCTTAAAAGAACTATGAGCAGTGAACACAGACCCCGATGAACTCATCATTCAACGATTCTGGGTACACTATTATATATTTAACAAAAGTAAAGTAAAAAATACAATGCAAACCTACTCTACTCCACCGCTCTAGAAGTTACACACCCGAAATGTAATAAAATATCGCTTCGTTCGGCGCGAATACCAACTCTATTGTGATACCTCGGATAAGATGAGCAGACAACCAGTGTCTCCAACTGGAAAGACGGCAGAAGCGACAGCATCCTCGTCATCTAACGGAATGTTCTTCTTCATTGCAACCATCTTGAAATATATCACTAAAACCGAAATCAGCCGCCTCTTTTGTTTATTAAACTTGCAATATATGTGCATGTAAATGTTGGTTCAGGCGTTCCATTCCCGCTACAAGAGCAGCTGCAGAGAAATCCTCCCACTGGCTAGCAGGCCATGGAGAGCGGCAGGTTGACTGTCAACTTGTGTGTGATACGTCACAACAGCAGGGCTGCCGAAATTATTAAATTGAATGAAAATCGGCAACTGATTGAGGTGATCTAGGCAGAAAATTGATAAGGCAGACGTGGTTAGTGCCTTGTGGTAGAGCTTGTACAGTTCGGAGGAGCAGACTGATCACCACAGTGTGGTGAGATTGATGCGGTTTGGGGTGACGAGAGGTTCTGGCAGATGTTCGAGACTCAGAGGAAAGGCAAGATGGACGTTTTATCAGAATGCTACTGGCACCATAAGTATCGGAACTCTTTGCTGGCTGCTGAAGACGGAGCGCTTATGGGAATGCCCCAAGTGCTGTGACGTCGGTTCTTTAATCAAATTAAACAAATCAGACAGAAAATGTCGTGACCTACCTCCTTCAATGATTGATTCGGAGGTCAAAGCACTGGTAAATGAAAATACATCCGAAGATGATCTTGTTATACACATAAATGGTTCTGTAATTCGTCACAAAAAAGTGCTCAGGCGTTTACGGCATGAGCAAAACGAACAATAATTAAAGAAGTCAGTGGAGCCTTTGCTGGCACCACCAACAGCTTGAGAATGGAAACCATGGTTTTGATAAAGACTCTTGAATGGCTACAGACACACGAATTAACAGGCGCATGTTTTCTCCGTGATTCTATGAACATGATAAAAAAGATTGCAACCGGATTCATCTGAAAAGAGTAGTTATAATTTATTACAAAAAAGCACCGCTCCTCTTCATTACATTCATACTTGTTCCAGGATATCCCGTGTAAAAGGCAACGAGAGGGCGGATGATCTTGCAGGCAAATCACCCTAGGAAATGGAGCTTCTATGGACATAATGGACATAATCAATGCTATGCGCGAGGCAGCACGTGCTGAAGATATCAAAAGTAAAGATAATCATTTCTCTCTAACTCGATTGCGAGGTCTAGCTATACCATTTTAGAGCAGCACGGCGTGAAAACCATGCAAAACCTTACAGTCGCTACAGCAGACAACACAGAACAGGAGTCGTCAGCATAAACACGATAAGAAACACACTTAGCAGAAGACCTAAGCACCTATTAGTATGCCCATCGTGCAGTGATGATGGTCTTGAACCGGGGCCTCCGAAGGTCACGCTTGAACAATGTAGTAAACATTTGTACCAGCTTCGGCAGCCCTGCAGAGCAGTCGCTGCGAGCCGGAACATTGATAAGGCCATAGGTCACCAATTGATAAAGCTATCACAGATAAAAGCCACACGCCCCTTTTGAGTTCTTTGTAAAAATAATTTTGTATTGTTTTATGTTATCACAGTCAACGTTACTGCCTATTACGCGTTTCCTATGCGTACGCAGTCCTCACATGCAGCAGCCACTCCAAGGCATCTCTATTGATTTCTCCCAGGACGAGTTGGTTGTCTCCTATCTCGGCATTGAATGCGGCATAGACGTGCTTTGCCAGGCTTTGCTTCCAGGCCATGCAACATTTTCACGCGATTAGAATATCGGGCGAGTGTTGCTTGAACCACACTTTTATAGACCAGACTGCACTCGGTGGATTATGTGGTCAACATCACGCCGGCCGCCTTTACTGTAAAGAACAATGTATGGTACCCGTCAGGGGTCAGCCCTGCAGCGAACGTGCAGGTTGACGCCAGAAGGTGTTAGAAGAAGACGAGGAGGAGGAGAAGTAAAGGAGGGGAAAGAAAAGATAAGAATGAGTCACAAGAGGAGATGGGAGAGGAGGAGAAGAAGACGAGGAAGAGGAGGAGGGGGAAGAAGAAAAAAAAAGAAGAAGAAGAAGAAGAAGAAGAAGAAGAAGAAGAAGTAGTAGTAGTTTATTGCATTGTCTTAATAGTTTTAGTAACAATATGATAATTTACGTTTGTTGGTTTCGCTTAAATCAGTATTTAAAAAAGTGAACATCACGTCGGCCGCTTTTACTTCCAATGACATTTCCTAATGCTTATGTTAACGAGTATCGACTTCTAAACGAAAGCTAAGTTTATCTGTGTTTTCTGCCTTGACTTCACACTGAGTTTCATGTCAAACCCCTGTTGTCTTTACAATGAGGGACATGTTTTATGTTGTGTTTACCTGGCGTCAACTTTGACCTTAAATGTACCTTGTGACCTAAATGAATCACCGGTCACTAATTCGTCGCTTCCCAAATCTTCTTTGGATCTTTTTCAAACAACTTATTTATTTTAGGTGAAATGGATAGCGATAAAATTTATAATAGTTTTTCAACAGACAAAATATTGTATATTTCATTTTTAATTAAACATATGATTATTGTCTTCACTGCATTATTAACGGAAGTCTGCTGTTTTGGTATCCATGGGCAACGCAATAGGCGCTTGACGCCATCAGCCCTCCAGCTCAGCAACATTTTCTCATATTGTTAGTATTATATTGAAGAAAAGGGCAATTTCAAATAATTTGTTATGACAGCAACAATGAGGAGCCCGCCTACTATCGGCCCAGGAACTTGGAGAAACAGATCACTGAGAGAAATACAATTGAACCAAACCGTTGTTAAAAACAGCGACCGAAATTGTGATATTGGTCGTTCGTTAGACATCGTTCCCCAGATAAGAGACGTGTTAGCAAGTCTCAGCAATGAGGAGATCAAAAAGTACATGCGAGAAGTCCGAGTTGTCGTGGCTAAGCTGAGGGAAAGCTTGCTAGAAACAAATGAAGAGATTAAGTCTTTAATCAGAGCCAAGGAAGCGCTAGAGAGGACGCTTGAACACACACGCAAGGATATTCAGCTTAACAAGGATTCTAAGTTTGTCCGAGTAACCAGACCTCCAGTAGAGAAGGTAAGGCTTGAGGCCGTGGAATCAGTCATGAGTACACTCATAATATATGCACTGTTGTAGTTGTCTGAACATTTACAGATGCCTGTTTTTTGAATGACCCTAAGAATACACCTTATGTCATTCACACACACACACACATATACATGTGAATATATATATATATATATATATATATATATATATATATATATATATATATATATATATATATATATATATATATATATATATACATATACATACATACATACATACATACATACATACATACATACATACATATATATATATATATATATATATATATATATATATATATATATATATATATCACATATATAGTATTATATAGATAATAATGCATACACATATATATAAAATATTATATTGTCATGATCAAGTATCTTGCCACAGGGCGTGGGCAATCATGCCTCTTCACAATCTGTGATCCGCAACTACATGTATCAGTTCATGTGTTAACCACCTCCATGCCATAACAAAAGGCTGTCAAGAATCTCCACATACTGTCTTCCTCTTTCGCTCTTTCCACATATCTTTCTAGGGGCCACAACACATTCCAGTTTCTTTCTTCTCATAATGTGACCGAAAAATGATGACTGTCTTTTTCTGATATTTGTGGTAAGCTGTTTTTGAGCACTCACTTTTTTCAAAACATATTGGTTACTCTTCTTAGCTGTCTAAGGGATTCTAAGGAATCTTCTGTAAAGCCACATCTCAGCGGCCTCAAGATATTGTTCGGCTTCTTTATTAATTGTCCAGGATTCACACCCGTATGTTTTAACTGGCTCTAAATAGCTTGCGAGAATTTTTTCCTGACCTTAAATAACATGGATTTTTAGCATAAAATGTGCTTCATTTTATAAAAGGCAGTTCTGGCCTGTCCTATTCTGTTCTTTACCTCTGTGATTCATCTTCCATCGGATGTCATCCATGTGCCAAGATACATAATTTCTGAACTTGTCCTAAAATAACACCTTTGACCTTTATTTTACATTTTAGCAATATTTTTTCTTGGAAATCTCCATAACTTTTGTCTTCCCATTATTTAAACTGAGGCCCATTTTATCACTTTCTTCCACCAATGTGTCTATCAATTTCTGTATTTCTTTCTGACTTGTCGCTGTCAAGGTAAAGTTCCCTTTTCCATGCCTTTAGGTGACTTGGGAATATAGGTCTAGACCAGTGTTTCCCAAACTTTTGTTAGTCGCGGCACCTTTTTCAATTAAAGTTTTTCCACCGCGCCCTAACCTAAGTAAAAGTATGACTATTTGTATGTAAGAGATAAAAAAAAAACTTGTCTTTCTTTGAATATTTCATGGCTTCCCTATGAAAAGGTCGTGGCTCCCCGGGGTGCAGCAGCGCACAGTTTGGGAATCACTGGTCTGGACCTATATTTTTTTAGATCAATCAGCACTTGGTGGGTGATATGGTCAGCATCACGTCTGTGGCTATTAAGACATTGTCATTATTATATTATAAATAGCCTATTTATTTTATATTATATATATTATCATATATTATCACACACACACAACACAGTAATATATACTGTCATACATATAATACATGTACACATATTCTATATATCATATTATAAATATACTATATTTTATATACTATTGTGTACCTCACACACGTATATTCTTTGTATCCACGTAGAGTAATGCTGGCCAGTGTGTCATCACAACCTTTTGTCTTGCATGCTGCCAATGGTCATAAAACACATCCTAAACAAAAACATATGTCATTATGGTCGTTTGAATGTTACCACACAATTCTAGTTTTACACTACAATATTTTATCCAATTCTTGGTATTTTTAACCACGCAATTCTAGTTTTACACTATAATATTTTATCCAGTTCTTGGTATTTTTAACCACGCAATTCTAGTTTTACACTATAATATTTTATCTATATTTTATAGTCAGTAGTGAGTAAAGGACCCTTTTCCATGCCTTCAGGTGCATTGGGCCTATATGGCAAGACCTACATTTTTTACACCAGTCGGCACTTAGTAGATTATGTGGTCAGCATCACGCCAGCTGCCTTTACTCCCAGGACTCCACCCAGTACCCACACAAGGCTGGCTCGATCTGGGAACCAAGGTCATTTTTGAAAAATGTCTAGTACCACCTCGACCTGAACTCACAATATTCCGATTTGCAGACCAGCGTCTAGCTGCTATACCACCGTGGCTCCTGTAGCTGCTATACCACTGTGGCTCCTGTAGCTGCTATACCACTGTGGTTCCTGTAGCTGCTATACCACTGTGGCTCCTGTAGCTGCTATACCACTGTGGCTCCTGTAGCTGCTATACCACTGTGGCTCCTGTAGCTGTTATACCACTGTGGCTCCTGTAGCTGCTATACCACTGTGGCTCCTGTAGCTGTTATACCACTGTGGCTCCTGTAGCTGCTATACCACTGTGGCTGCTGTAGCTGCTATACCACTGTGGCTGCTGTAGCTGCTATACCACTGTGGCTCCTGTAGCTGCTATACCACTGTGGCTCCTGTAGCTGTTATACCACTGTGGCTCCTGTAGCTGTTATACCACTGTAGCTCCTGTAGCTGCTATACCACTGTGGCTCCTGTAGCTGCTATACCACTGTGGCTCCTGTAGCTGCTATACCACTGTAGCTCCTGTAGCTGCTATACCACTGTGGCTCCTGTAGCTGCCAATTGCTGCCTTTATCAAACCACTTTTGTGGTGTAGGCAGGTGGGGGTTTGAGACTGAGGATTTAAGGCCACGTGGCTAGTAGTGCTGTCGCCACGGACTGTGCAGGTGATATTCTTTTTACCCGACAGAAAAAAAAAATTCTCAGCCTTACCACATGAGAGCTACAGCAGTAGCTAACACAAAAATATTCTGTTCATATATTTATAATTTTGGAATTTAGAGCTTTTCAAACTTTGTGCTAGAGGTTCCGGGTTCTATCCCCGGTAAGGGCTGGTATTTTTTCACGCGGACTTGGACTTCTAGTATTTCCCCTGGTTTCTGGGTAGTGAGATTGGATACCCGCGTCCCATGGCAGTTGGAAATCGAAAAGAGTAGCCTGCCCGGGCAAAATTTGAGTTAAAAAATCTACTCCAAAAATTTCAGGATCCTCACCGGTGCTACAGAGCCTGTGCACTGTGCTGAGCTTCTTCGGACTCAGACTTGAGTTGGAAGAAAGAATGGAGCACTTATGGGTTACTACCCATGTGCCATGATATTGTTGATCCGTTGTTTAAACTTCAACTTCTTTCCAAACTACATTGCCACACATTATGTACGTTGGTTGCAGTGTGAATGTGTGTCATGCAAATATAAAGCGTCAAAGGAAATAATCAGCGCCCAACACTTCATTATTGTTATTATTCAATATTTTTTTAATTGTTGTTGCTCATAAATTATAACAGTGAAATTAATCTTGGAAATATTATACATTTTAAATATAGATGAAAGGTTTAGATGAAACAATTGAAATACTTTGCAACATTGAAAGACATATTACGCTTTTACAATCCTGGAGGGAAAGTTCAAAGGCAAGAGAGCAAGAGTTAGACATCATTACAAGTGGGTTGGGGAAGCAACATCAAGAGATGGACAAACAGCAGTCTTTGAGTGTGCACAACCAAAACACATGACAGAATGTGCTGAAGATCCATTGCCGCCAACCATCAGTGTGGAGATGGCACTAACTAATTGATGATCAAGACCCTAAATGCACCTTTCTTTTTAGGACTTATGCCAGAATAGATGCATAGCAAAGTTGATCAAGGGAGAAGGAGGAGGAGGAGGATGTTTGAGGCTGTGTAGATTTTAAAATTTTGATTGATATATTCATATTGTGGTATTCATTTATAAGTATATTCTGTACAAAGCAGTGTAACGTATCTGCTCCATTGTTGATATGCATATCTTAACGCAGTCACCCTGAGAAGGCTAAATCTAGTTACTCAGGTTGTGACACAGCCCCATAATGACCTATATGTGGCCATTTTTGCAATGTGGCCTGTTCACAAAAAGCATAGTTAAATGCCATTGTCAGTGAATGTAGTAACTAAAAAAGCAATTGGCAAGGGGGTGGGGGGAGGGGGTGGGAGTAGAATTTGAAAAATCAGCAATGTTGATGTGAAATTTTCCCATGAGCCCCAGTGATAGAGGTCATAACATAAGTCACGGATAAATATTGTTTTGTAGGACCTGAGGAATTAGTTCCATTTAATGCTTTGCTATGTTCATGTTTATTGGTTACTCCTTTTCAGTGAATTTCTTAGGGTTCATGACTGATCTTTATTTAGGATTCGCAGGGAAAAATTGTTAATACTTTTTTTGGTTTTTTTAATGTACTGGATAAGGATTTTTTTTTTTTTTACAACTGAAAAGTATAATAATTGAGTTATGCAGAAAGAAGTTAAGTAATAAATGCAGAGTAAAGGACCTTTTCCTTACCATGAAGCCTACAGGATACATTTACTAACCCCATATTTTAGGGACCAATTGGTACTAGATAGTTGATGTAGTAAGTCTTTTACCACAAGTTTGTTGTATCTTGTAGCTAGCTGACAGTTTACTCTAAAGGGGGGGGGGGCAAAAAGAGACCCACTGCTTCTCTATCAAGCCTGTGATAAGAGGGGACTAATTAGGGGTGTTTCCTTCAAAGTCAGAGTGCATCTGCCTTAGAAGTCCTAAGAAGTGAGAAACTAATAGTCTGCATATAGATAAACATGTTCTGTAAAATGGATATGCATGCAAAACTTACATTCTGGATCAAGTACAAAGTCTAGGAGTAAGTAAAGTAAGTAGAGGATCTTTTTCCATGCCTTTCAGGCAGATATATATATATATAAATATATAGGGCTAGACCTATATTTTATAGACCAAACGGCACTTTGTGGGTGATATAGTCAGCGTCATGTCAGCCGCCTTTACTTCCCAGAAATGTATTTGGTACCAACTCAGGCTAGGTCGACCTGAGAGCCAAGGTCATTTTTGAAAAAAGTACTTAAAGTTAGAAGTAAAGAAGATGTGGTTTTATAAACGAATGATGAAAACACCCTGGACAGGTTAACAAAAAATTTATTTAAAAAAGTAATGAAGATGTTTTGAAAGAAACTGACTAACGAAGAGAACTGACTGCCCACATAAAAAAAAGATAATCTACATTCTTTAGTCGTGTCGTAAGAAGGAGAACACTGGAGTACATCATGACGGTGGAAAAGTTAAAAGGGAGTGGGGCAGAGGGAGACTCCTAAACACTGCATAGGCACAAATATAACCAGTGCCAATCACTAGACCAAGTCGTGACTGTCCAGAGGCATAAGGGCAAAAAGGCCTGTATATGGATTTCACAGCGATGTGTAACGGATGGTACCGCATACATATTGGTGAAAAATCAGACAAAAGACCTGAAATTTAAAAAAAAAACCATTCTGGGTGGAAACTTTGAAGACAGGCAGGCAAGCTGCAGATAGTAGTACGATACAACAAATTTGAGTCAGTCAGAGTGTACTGTAAGGCTAGAAGAGTTGGTCATACAATATAGAACAAACTTCAGTTAGTCAGTGTGTACTTTCAGGCTAAAAGATTCATACAAGAAACAACAAACTTCAATCAGTCAGAGTGTACTGTCAGGCTAAGAGATTCATAAAAGATAAAGAAACTTAAGTTACTCCGAGTGTACTGTCAGGCTAAGAGAGTCATTCAAGATACAACAAACTTCAGTCAGTCAGAGTCATACAAGATGCAACAAACTTCCGTCAGTGAGTGTGTACTGTCAGGCTAGGAAAGTTAGTCATACAAGATAGAACAAACTTCAGTCAGTCTAAGTGTACTGTCAGGCAAAGAGATTCATACATGATACAACAAACTACAATCAGTCAGAGTGTACTGTCAGGCTAAGAGAGTTAGTCATACAAGATACAACAAACTTCAAACAGTCAGAGTATACTGTCAGGCTAAGAGATTCTTTCGTACAAGATACAACAAACTTTATAGTCAGTCAGTGTACTGTCAGGCTAAGAGAGTTAGTCATACAAGATACAACAAACTTCAGTCAGAATGTACTGCCAGGCTAAGAGAGTCAATCAAATGATCATTCTCAATACATCATGTTCGTCTGTCTGCCAGAAGTATTTATTGCTTTATGCTCTTTTATTCCTAAAAATGGCATCATGTGTGACTAGATTTACTCATATTGACCAGTTAACGTATTACTGTGCTTGTGTTTAGTCAGGACATGCTAAAACTCTCAGCAACACAATTATCTCCCACAAGCGATATGTATTTGAGCCCTGGGGATGTAGGGTACCCATTCTTTTGTTGATTCCGCAATTGACTCACTGAGGCATCAGCAAGGACCTTCTGGGATGGAATGAGTTAAGTGTAACCCCCTTGGAAATGAAGGAGTTAAATTAACAACTTCTTGGGGGTGAAAGAGTTAAGAGACAGTGTGTTGGAGATTCAGTGCAGCCAGTCTTTATTGTGTAGATGGCAACTGATTGACTGATTCAGTATGCTGTTTGTTAGGCTAGAATTAGTGCTTGGATTAAATACATTTATTGTACTTCCTAAAGGTCCCTTTCCCACACCTTCAGGCTTATGGGGAATATATGGCTAGACTTATATTTTTATAGACCATTCGGCATTTGGTGGGTGATGTGGTCAGCTTCATGCTGGCCATCTTTACTTCCCAGGACTTGCACCTGTTACCCAATCAAGGCTGGGTTGATCTAGGAGTCAAGATCATTTTTGAAGAAAAAAAAAAGTCTAGCTCCACCAGGACGTGAACCCACGATCTTCCCATCTGCAAGCAGGCATCTAGCCGCCAACGCAAGGTTTTTATTGTACTTAAATTAAATAAATAAATAGATACTTTTCTCCGCAGTATCTTGAGTGCATCAGAAAGAGAACATTTACTTCTTTGCAAGAACGATCTCGTGTTCTTGACCTCCTTTGTCACTCTTTGTCATCGGTGTTGCGGCCAGAGAAGGACACACTTGTGGTTAAGCCAAATCGTTGTCAGATTGAAGGAAGAACATCAATGGTTGATCCCGGACGGTAAGAATCAAGTTTTGTGTGTGTGTTTTTTGGTTAAATAAAAAAAAAATTTTGTTTATTTATTTAGAGAGTACTGCAATATTTACACATTTTGATCTAACAAATTCAATTTCAACAAACCCTTAATTAGTCGTCTTTTACAATACGCTTCTTGAATGACAGTGGGTGTGTGTTTTTCCACCAAAATGAAGACAAAAAAATCAGATGGGGACTGCATAAGTTGGAATTCTTATGTTCTTTGTTGCGTGTTTAATGCATTTGTTTCTTACGCCTGCCTTTTTTTTTTTCTGCCCTAGATTTTGCCTATCAGTAATTTCAACAGATGCTTCTCTGATGTGTCTCTGCCGTTAAATAGCTCAAGGGTTTCTGAGTTCCCCCAATCACAAAGTCTATGCCAGTGGTTAGTTACTGGTAGTCTCTTCTTTTGAACAGATCAAGGGATAGTCACCGCACTAAGAGAAGCATAAACCCACTGGATTTTATGTAGACTAAAGCAGTCAAAGGTTTCTTCTTCTTTCTTTCTTATTTTATCCTCACAATGTTACCGATTTGTAGCCTAGTGTTGTGGTTTTCTGTATTTATTTGTATCTTTCCAGTGGCTTGAGTGGTGGTTTTATTCATCTCTTTTTTTTTCAGGACTCAGCAACAGCATCTATCCATATCTTCCTTGTTCCTCTCACTTCCCACCCTGAGGTTCTTCTGTAAATGGTCTCAGTTACAGTTTGGTATGACTGCATTCTTGTTAGAACGCTAAACCACTTCATTCTCTGTCTCTCAGAGTAACTGAGGCATGATCTTGTTCAAGCTTTCTCTCTAATGCCAGAAGGCCTAGGCCCGGGAAAGTAAACTGCTTATTGACATTGAATGTTCTCAAACACAGGCCCAATGAAACAGTGTAACATAACTGAGGAATGATAGACCACTATGTCATGTATTAACTATCCCTGTGTGGGTTTCAGGTTCCAGTTTTGGGGGGAAAAGAACAGACTTACAACCCCCTAACAAGCATCTAATAAAAGGCGACTAATTTGGGGTGTTTCCTCCAAAGTTGGAGTGCATTTTCCTGAGAAATGAGGAACTAACAGTCTGCATACAATTAGGCTAGTTCTGTAAAATGTATATGCATGCACAACTCAAGTTCTGGAACAAGACTAAAGTCCAGATGTGGATGAACAACCAGAAATTTCCATGGCTTACAGCAAGTGAAGAAGAAAATGATGTACTGACCAAGTCTTACAAATGGTATATTTCCAGATTAGGAATTGAAAGAACTGACCCACTTGGCCCGTACACGTTTGAGGTTGATTCACTGCTGAGTGATGCTACTGAAGCTCGCAAAGATTCTGCCCATCTACGCCGGGATGCTCGATGCAGTATTGATCGTATTGACAAGCTCAAGCAAGCAGCACAGAAGTCGGTTAATGAGGGACTTGTGCAGAAGGTGGCAGAGACCGTAACCCTTAAGGTGGGAACCAATGAATTATTGTGCTCAAAGGCTGCAACATTAACTCTTCAACTACCTTACATGTTTAATCATTAGCATCATAACAGGAGTCCAAATAGGGCAGTAATTAGCATGCTAGGCTATTGGTTAATCTTTTACTTTTTATTCATATTGTGTATTTGCTTTGGACTTAACAATCTTTAAAGATAAAATATAATTGCAGTATCAAAAAAAAGTTATACCTACATTCCCAAGGAAATTATCATTTCCCATTCTTGAAAACATGATTGAAATTCAGAGAGAATTTCTGGCTGCTCAAAGAAGTGATGCTTCACACAATTTGCAAGCCTGTCAAAATGTGTTCATTCATTGTGTTCACTTGCTCATTGGTAGGAACCACTGAGTTTGTGTGCCCAATGGCTGCAACATTAACTCTTAACTGCTTAGCACATTTAATCAACATATCATCACTGAAGGCAGAGTAGCGCTGTGGTTAGCATGCTTTCTGTGTAGCCTAATGGTCATGTGTTCATTTCCTCACTGAGTTGGCAAACAATGAATTACTGTGCTCAGTGACTGCAACCCTAACACTTTAACTGTACTGTGTTTAATTTGGTGCAGGTCTGTGGCTTGGAGAGCAGCGAAAACATTTCAGAATGTAATTTTCAGTGTTTACCATGGTTTAAAAAAAAAAATACCATTCTCATGGTTATCAGACACTGGTACGAGAGTGCCACCATGGAAGAGATTGGGGCCTCACCATATGATATCCCTATCATAGTTAGCCATAGGATACATTACAGTGAACCTACATTGTGGAGATGGCCCAATGTTTAATCTAACGATATTTAATCTTGGCATCATGATCATCACATAGGCCATGGTGGCACAGTGATAAGCATGCTTGGCTGTTGGCCTATCGGTCTTGTGTTTTATTCTTCTTTATCCGTAAAACCGGCCTGCGACCGGACATCGTTCTCCATTCTGCGCAAAAACGGCAGCTCATCCTGATTGAGTTGACTGTCCCGTTTGAGTCGCGTATGGAGGAGAATCATTTGTACAAGCTCGAGAAGTACAGTGATTTAGCAGCCGGTTTGAGGAGAAACGAGGCTTACACAGTACGGGTATTTGCCGTCGAGGTGGGAGCGAGAGGCCTCGTTTCCACTTCGCTCTACAATGTGGTGAAAGAACTAGGATTGCGCGGTAATGAACGGAAACGAACACTCAAAAAACTGGGAGAGGCAGCCGAAAGGGCCTCTAGCTGGCTTTGGACGCAGCGCAACAACGTAGGGGACGGGCCTCGGTGAGCTGGTCCGGGTGTCTAGCGGAAAAGAGTTTCTCATCCCTTTGAAAGTCCATCGTGTCCGAATTGTCTGCCAGTGTTCCTCTGCCAACTGCTAATAAAAGTCCAACATGTGTCCGGTAAACCAAAGTAAGCTTGTCGCTCGGTCGTCCAGGCATGCTGACTGCTCTAATTAGGCTGCCGTGGCGGCTTCTTATCTCACAGTACCTCCTTCGAAACCACCAAGTCGTCTTGTCTCTGGCCGAAAGTCTAACACCATCCGGATTCCGTGCAGCAGGGAACCAGCCCTGAGCTTCATGAAAGCCCTGAGCTTCATGAACTCAGAAGGGCCCACCTCCGAATGCATCTAGGAATCGTGGGCCGAAACGCGTGTCGACGAGGATAATTTCTACCGATGACTGGTAGATCCCTGCTGTACTTGCTCCCTGTGAGTTTATTCCTATTCTTTAGGTTGGGAACCAGTGAATTATTGCACTTAAAGGCTGCAACATTAACTTTAAACTGTTTTACATTGAATCATTAGGACTCATCACCACTCAGCAAGTCCTGTATAGAACGTCGCTGTCGTGACGGCACACCTGAAAGTCTCTCTTTCTCTAACCAATTCTTCAGCCTTGTGTGCTTTCATAGCCTCTGCCTCTTCAGTGTCTCATATACCGCTCTGCAGATTTCTGCCTCTGCCTCTTCAGTGTCTCATATACCGCTCTGCAGATTTCTGCCTCTGCCTCTTCAGTGACTCATATACCGCTCTGCAAATTTCTGCCTCTGCCTCATGTTTTGGAACTGTACCCTTCACCGCAGTCCTCTCCAGGACACCATGACCTTTAACATGGCCACAATAGCTCCCTTTTCGGGACAGGATGCTGTTTATGAGCCAGTTCTCCTCGATGCTCAGATCAAGTAGGATGTTGATGCTTTTTTTTTCTTGGTCCATGATGTTCTAAGACTTTTTCTGTAGCTCCAAATTTTTCCCCCTCGGTGACTGAATAAGAGCCTGTGACTCATATCCATAAATTGCCAGGGGAAAGATATATGATCTCAAAATGTTTACTTTAACTCAGTTATTAGGACAAAGTTTTTTTTTGCAAGAAAAAAAAAAGGTGCTAGTACTTAGTACAAAGTGTCTATTATAATATCTCTGGGGGAAAAAAATGCCTAAAACAGATGCTGATATTGTTTACCATTGTGTACCACTGGGAAAAAACCCACCCAGATTAGCACCATCATCATCATCGTGTCACCTGCAGTAGTGCAGCGCTTAGCATGCTTAGTTGCCAGCCTGTTGTATATGTATTCAAATCTTCATCGGGGGTGATTGGGGGGGGGGGGGGGGGGGGGGGGGGTTAAGATTTCCAGCCTAAAATGGAAACCAGAAAATTCTCTGAGATATAAAGGTAGCCATTGTGATATTGACAAAAATCATCCATTGAATGCCAACTGGTATTTACAAACATCAGGTAGTGCCATATTTCTAATACACCTCAGGATTCTTCTTCATCTTATTGTTGATGCCATGTGGCGCTCGTAGTCACGACTGTTGATGCCATGTGGCGCTCCTAGTCACGACTGTTGATGCCATGTGGCGCTCGTAGTCACGACTGTTGATGCCATGTGGCGCTCGTAGTCACGACTGTTGATGCCATGTGGCGCTCCTAGTCACGACTGTTGATGCCATGTGGCGCTCCTAGTCACGACTGTTGATGCCATGTGGCGCTCCTAGTCACGACTGTTGATGCCATGTGGCGCTCGTAGTCACGACTGTTGATGCCATGTGGCGCTCCTAGTCACGACTGTTGATGCCATGTGGCGCTCCTAGTCACGACTGTTGATGCCATGTGGCGCTCCTAGTCACGACTGTTGATGCCATGTGGCGCTCCTAGTCACGACTGTTGATGCCATGTGGCGCTCCTAGTCACGACTGTTGATGCCATGTGGCGCTCGTAGTCACGACTGTTGATGCCATGTGGCGCTCCTAGTCACGACTGTTGATGCCATGTGGCGCTCCTAGTCACGACTGTTGATGCCATGTGGCGCTCCTAGTCACGACTGTTGATGCCATGTGGCGCTCGTAGTCACGACTGTTGATGCCATGTGGCGCTCCTAGTCACGACTGTTGATGCCATGTGGCGCTCCTAGTCACGACTGTTGATGCCATGTGGCGCTCCTAGTCACGACTGTTGATGCCATGTGGCGCTCCTAGTCACGACTGTTGATGCCATGTGGCGCTCGTAGTCACGACTGTTGATGCCATGTGGCGCTCCTAGTCACGACTGTTGATGCCATGTGGCGCTCCTAGTCACGACTGTTGATGCCATGTGGCGCTCGTAGTCACGACTGTTGATGCCATGTGGCGCTCCTAGTCACGACTGTTGATGCCATGTGGCGCTCCTAGTCACGACTGTTGATGCCATGTGGCGCTCCTAGTCACAACTGTTGATGCCATGTGGCTCCCGTAGTCACGACTGTTGATGCCATGTGGCGCTCCTAGTCACAACTGTTGATGCCATGTGGCTCCCGTAGTCACGACTGTTGATGCCATGTGGCGCTCGTAGTCACGACTGTTGATGCCATGTGGCGCTCCTAGTCACGACTGTTAATGCCATGTGGCGCTCCTAGTCACGACTGTTGATGCCATGTGGCGCTCCTAGTCACGACTGTTGATGCCATGTGGCGCTCCTAGTCACGACTGTTGATGCCATGTGGCGCTCGTAGTCACGACTGTTGATGCCATGTGGCGCTCCTAGTCACGACTGTTGATGCCATGTGGCGCTCCTAGTCACGACTGTTGATGCCATGTGGCGCTCGTAGTCACGACTGTTGATGCCATGTGGCGCTCCTAGTCACGACTGTTGATGCCATGTGGCGCTCCTAGTCACGACTGTTGATGCCATGTGGCGCTCCTAGTCACAACTGTTGATGCCATGTGGCTCCCGTAGTCACGACTGTTGATGCCATGTGGCGCTCCTAGTCACAACTGTTGATGCCATGTGGCTCCCGTAGTCACGACTGTTAATGCCATGTGGCGCTCCTAGTCACGACTGTTGATGCCATGTGGCTCCCGTAGTCACGACTGTTGATGCCATGTGGCGCTCCTAGTCACGACTGTTGATGCCATGTGGCGCTCCTAGTCACGACTGTTGATGCCATGTGGCGCTCCTAGTCACGACTGTTGATGCCATGTGGCGCTCCTAGTCACGACTGTTGATGCCATGTGGCGCTCCTAGTCACGACTGTTGATGCCATGTGGCGCTCCTAGTCACGACTGTTGATGCCATGTGGCTCCCGTAGTCACGACTGTTGATGCCATGTGGCGCTCCTAGTCACGACTGTTGATGCCATGTGGCGCTCCTAGTCACGACTGTTGATGCCATGTGGCGCTCCTAGTCACGACTGTTGATGCCATGTGGCGCTCGTAGTCACGACTGTTGATGCCATGTGGCGCTCGTAGTCACGACTGTTGATGCCATGTGGCGCTCCTAGTCACGACTGTTGATGCCATGTGGCGCTCCTAGTCACAACTGTTGATGCCATGTGGCTCCCGTAGTCACGACTGTTGATGCCATGTGGCGCTCCTAGTCACAACTGTTGATGCCATGTGGCTCCCGTAGTCACGACTGTTGATGCCATGTGGCGCTCCTAGTCACGACTGTTGATGCCATGTGGCTCCCGTAGTCACGACTGTTGATGCCATGTGGCGCTCCTAGTCACGACTGTTGATGCCATGTGGCGCTCCTAGTCACGACTGTTGATGCCATGTGGCGCTCCTAGTCACGACTGTTGATGCCATGTGGCGCTCCTAGTCATGACTGTTGATGCCATGTGGCTCCCGTAGTCACGACTGTTGATGCCATGTGGCGCTCCTAGTCACGACTGTTGATGCCATGTGGCGCTCCTAGTCACGACTGTTGATGCCATGTGGCGCTCCTAGTCACGACTGTTGATGCCATGTGGCGCTCCTAGTCACGACTGTTGATGCCATGTGGCGCTCCTAGTCACGACTGTTGATGCCATGTGGTGCTCCTAGTCACGACTGTTGATGCCATGTGGCTCCCATAGTCACGACTGTTGATGCCATGTGGCGCTCCTAGTCATGACTGTTGATGCCATGTGGCGCTCCTAGTCATGACTGTTGATGCCGTGTGGCGCTCCTAGTCATGACTGTTGATGCCATGTGGCGCTCCTAGTCATGACTGTTGATGCCATGTGGCGCTCCTAGTCACGACTGTTGATGCCATGTGGCGCTCGTAGTCACGACTGTTGATGCCATGTGGCGCTCCTAGTCACGACTGTTGATGCCATGTGGCGCTCCTAGTCACGACTGTTGATGCCATGTGGCGCTCCTAGTCACGACTGTTGATGCCATGTGGCGCTCCTAGTCACGACTGTTGATGCCATGTGGCGCTCGTAGTCACGACTGTTGATGCCATGTGGCGCTCCTAGTCACGACTGTTGATGCCATGTGGCGCTCGTAGTCATGACTGTTGATGCCATGTGGCGCTCGTAGTCACGACTGTTGATGCCATGTGGCGCTCCTAGTCACGACTGTTGATGCCATGTGGCGCTCGTAGTCACGACTATTGATGCCATGTGGCGCTCGTAGTCATGACTGTTGATGCCGTGTGGCGCTCCTAGTCACGACTGTTGATGCCATGTGGCGCTCGTAGTCACGACTGTTGATGCCATGTGGCGCTCGTAGTCACGACTGTTGATGCCATGTGGCGCTCGTAGTCATGACTGTTCACATACTTCTGTCTAGTGTACTTTTAGTGAATTCTGACACAGATGATCTTCCATACCATGATGTCAGACTGTCCAGCATCTGTTCTCCCACTGGCTCTTTCCTACTTCCACTTTCCCACCATCCAGGTGTACTCCAGTAATGGTCTTCTCATGACATGACCTTGGGTAGATTGTCTCCTTCTCATGTGGCCGATCATGATGTGGGAAAGATGATTATACCAGCAAAGTTCTTCTGCGGCCCCTTATCCACTACTTGGACACAAGACTTCAAATGATTACCAGAAAAGGCTCTGGAAAAAAACAGAAAGTTGGCATGATGATGATGACATCACAGCTCTAGTGCCAACAGCTCTTTGAAAATATCTATCTAGCGCTGTATGCCAGGTGGGATTCAAGCTGACAAAGAGTCCTTAACTAGTTACATTGAAAAAGTAAAAAAAGATTATAATTAATGAATATGTTTAATTTTACAGCAACACATTAACCTTGGCATTGGTGAAAATCGTCACGCCCTGAACAGAGCCCAACGCTGGTACGATTCCACAGAGAGGGCTTTGGGTTATACTTTGGTAGGTATAATGAATATGATTACAAAATAATCACACATACACGCACGTGCGCACACACACACAAATAAATACACATATGATAAATTTACTATATGCACTCCACACAGACACCATATGAGCTACACACATCAGACATTTAAAACCTAGACAAAAACAGAATTACAGACAAACATTCATGCACACTTAAATGAATCATGGCCGTCATCATTACATTATTGAGTCATTTATACCTAACAAAGATATCTCAATAGGGTTTTCATTCTTCTACATTCCTGTGTGTGCTGCACAATCTGTTTGATATCATAGATAGAATCTTGTGTCCTTTGGTGTCCTTTGGCATACACACAGAATCATTCAGATGTATACTCTTGACAATGCACATGCAGTCAGGTAGACATGCATATATCCACAAACTCATGACACAGTGGTAGGCCTTTTGTATCAAGTATCCACACACATACACTCATGCATTCATGCACCTACCAACCCCTATACGCATGACACATTGATAGCTGTTGTGTATGAATTGTCATACATACAGACAAAACACGTGTAAGCATGCACCCACACATCCATGTGCACGTGGACACACAAGACACAGTGTTAGCCCTTGTGTATGGAATATCACACATACACACTAACACATACATAAATGTATCTATTTATACACACACTTGCATATCCATGCACCTACAAAACCACATGCACACACATCGGACACAGTGATAGGCCTTGTGTATGAAGTGTCATACCTCCAAGAGGGGACTCATTCTGATAAGCAAACATTTTCTTATCTGCTTTTTTTTTTTTTCAACCAGCATCCCTGAAGAGGGAGCTTTAGGTTACATTTGTGATTAGGTTATGTGCACCATATAAAATGGCTTAGCATTGCACGCTGCCAAGAGCCTTGAGAAAGATTCCTGCAGTGTTGATGCGATCAGAGGAGACAGACCCAAATACTGTCCCGACTGGCGATGAAGTCGTTTCCCGGTGAGCCAGTGGGCAACCTGGTCACCGATATTGTTTGGTTTCCCACAGAATTCTTATTACACAGTGTCATTAGTTTGTGGAACATTCATTTCCCTCCAATGTAACTGTTTACAGTATTATGGAAAGATATGAAAATTGAACCAAAAGTACATCAGCGAGCTTCACAGCATGATGAACACAAACAAAAAGTGAACGTTGCGGCTACAGAGCCTTCATCAGCACATGCATAAATCAAGCAACCACACCAATACACAAAATAACTTAACTGACCAATCCTGAAGCAGCCACTTTGATGTCTTGCCAGTGGATTTAAAAAGTACGTACAGCCCAGGAATTATATGCCTGAGAAAGCCAAGGCCATAGTTCAAGTATCTTAGATGAAACCATTTAGTCCCCTAGGTGTTTGTATACCCAAGGTAAAAATAAAGCGATTCTCAATGGACTTATGGACTGTCGCTGGAGTGGTTGGATTTAATGGCCGTTACCTCCATGTTGCAGACACTTTGAGGATCCTGAAAGTTGAAATGGGATGGTACTGGTTTCAGAGCACCATTCTGCACATCCAAGAGATGTTGTCAGAACCTGTCAGCCAGTCGTAGACCCGTTTCACAGATGTATTTCATGCTAAATCTCTTGCAGTGGATGGCGTAAATGACATTGATTCTCTTGCAGTTGAATGCCTCATGTATTTGGAAGGTGGCGTTTTGGAATTCCAGACTTTTCCCTTGAACCACATATGAACAAGTCTTGCACACCGGTTGGTGGCAGGAGATCATGCCTAATTGGAACTAAGACATTGGACATAACGGACTCTGATCAGAATTACCTTGAGATTACGGTCATGTCTGTGAGCCACTAGGAAAAGTTCAGAGATAATCGTGCTGGTGGCAGGAGATCATGCCTAATTGGAACTAAGACATTGGACATAACGGACTCTGATCAGAATTACCTTGAGATTACGGTCATGTCTGTGAGCCACTAGGAAAAGTTCAGAGATAATCGTGCTGGTGGCAGGAGATCATGCCTAATTGGAACTAAGACATTGGACATAACGGACTCTGATCAGAACTCGAGATTATGGTCATGTCTGTGAGCCACTAGGAAAAGTTCAGAGATAATCGTGCTGGTGGCAGGAGATCATGCCTAATTGGAACTTAGACATTGGACATAACGGACTCTGATCAGAATTGCTTTGAGATTACAGTCATGTCTGTGAGCCACTAGGAGAAGTTCAGAGATAATCGTGCTGGTGGCAGGGTCAGCCCTTAGTTTAAAAAGATGCCTAAAGAGAATGTTTTTGGCACTGTTTATTACGCATACAGACCAAATTCTTAGAAATATCTTTGGAGAAAAAAAAGAGAATTTTTCAGTCTAATCCCATTTGTAGTGTATAGTCACTATCTGATAGATTTTTATTCTTGCTTAAAATGTAGGGACCTGTATGCTACTCAGATCTCACAATCAGAGAGCATCTCGATCGTCCTTTTGTGCGTGTTTATCAGAGGCATCCAGGAACACAGCTTCCAGAGGCTCAGGAAGTCATTAAGGTAGATATAAAAAGCTTCATACAGAAAGGTTACTTGTCATCATCATGTAGCAGGTAGTTTGCAGAACGTCACTGTCATCACAGATCTGTAAAATGGATGTGCATAGAAAGCTGAAGTTCTTGAACAAGACCAAAGTCTGGAAGTGGATAAGTAGCCAGAACTTTCCACAGGAATTTACATCCTGTGAATACACAAAAGAAGAAGTAAAAGAAGAAGAAGAAAAAGAAGAAAAAAAAAGAAAGAAGAAGAAAAGGTAAATGGGTTGACCACCATGAATGTGGACCCAGGACAGCTCAGGAATGACAGATAATACATGAGGCAGAGGAACTGACAAGGGACTGAGAGGTTTTCAAACAGGCTGTGAAGGAAACAGTATTCTGCATAGGACCTGCCATTCTACTGTGCTTTGTTTTGTTCTTGCTTTGTGCAATGCCCTTTGCAGTGGCTAGCCATTCACAGAGTGAGATTTGAACTTTACGGGGGTAATAAAACCAGTACTCTCAACACCAACCCTTTTTGCCCGGGCACCACTAAAAATATGGGTCATGACCAATGGAATTGCGGGGAAAAATCTGTAAAATAAATTGTTTTTTTTTTTAATCTTAAATATTCTAAAGATATGTGAAGGTAGTAATCAATAAAGGTAATAATCAATAGACATCATTTAATGGAATACATTCACCAAGTCTTAAAAAAACATATGTATTGGGCGACTCATGGGGTGACACCATGACCTCTATCAATGAGACCTGTGATAAAATTTGATGTCAACTTGGCCTTGAAAAAGCTATTTGTTCATAAGAAAACCACCCTAAATGCCATTGTAGTTAATGTACCTCTTCTTCTTCTTCTTGTTCACTGGCTGTAAACTGCAGTGGAAAGTTCTTGTTGTTTATCCTTTTCTGGACTCTAGTCGCGTTCCAGAACCTGAGTGTTGCATGCACATCTGTTTTACAGTTCTGACTCATTTGTATGTAGACAGTTGGTTCCTTACCTCTCAGGCAGATGCACTCCGACTTTGAAGGAAGCTCCCAAATAGTCGACTCTTTCAACGTTGCTTTTGAGTAGGCAATAGGTATATTCTTGTTTTCCCCATAACAGGGCCGCGGAACCCCACCGGAGTTAATGTAACTATATCTTGATCTCCTAAACATTTGCGCAGGTGCAACAACAACCAGTAGCATTAACTATGCTATCATAAACAGATCACTATAGAGAATTCAGAAAATTTACCTAACGGGAAGTGTCGGTTTTGCAGCTTCTCTGGATTTAAACATTTAGACCTTAATCCATTACACTTGTTATATTTATATAAACTGCCAGACTGCCTGTATTGACCACTGTTTGTGGTGTAGGCAGGTTGTCTGTGAACCTGAGGATTTAGGGTTAGTGCAGTTGCCATAAATTGTGCAGGTTAGGATTGTATTTTTGCCCCCGACACAAATACCTATAAACTTACCACGGATTCAAACATGGCTCCTCTCCACATGAGAGCTCAGCACTCTTATCTATTTAACAGGGCTTCTTTTCTGGCAGTACTGCACCTTTTTAAGTTAAAGGCATGATTTTTGTCCCAGCGCGACTATAATAAACTACCTTTTTTTTTTAAATATTAAAAAAAAAACTACCCTATTTTTAAGTTGCATATTTTGAGGTGAAAACTTTTTTTTTCAGTGTGGAAACAACCTGTTCCAGTCTCTGTCTGCCACCAGCAGAAACATCGGCATGCTGAGGATTGCACAGAAAAAGCTGAGCGATGACAAGCGCAGCAAGAGTGCTGCGGCAGACGTGGACAGCAGCGTGGTGCGCATGAGACGCAGCAAAGCCAATCACAGATGGTGCTTAGGAAGTGCATTTTAGAATACAGCCACATTAGTTATTGGTGTATGCAGTGTGAATATGTAGGGATTATGTAGAAAACTGATTTGTATCCAGTCTTTTTAGTTTTTTTATCTTCTCATAGTCTAAAGTAGATCTTGTAAGATTACTTGGAGGTGATATATACAACAGCAAATTATAATATGAAATAATATAAAATTAATATACTGAGCTATATGAGAAAATGTGCATAAATAATAAAAAGCTGACAAATTTTGTGGGATCCCTGGTAGTGTATTGGCTATATGCTCGCCTGTCAGCCCAAAAATTTTTGTTTGAATCCACATAGTGACAGATTTTATTGTTGTTTGACCTTGGCTCCTAGGTCGACCCAGCCAAAACTGGGCACCATGTAATGTCGGGATGATGATGATGATGACCACATTACCCACTGAGTCTAGAAAATTATGAGTCTAGCCTCATATACCGTGTCCACCACTGGCAGAAAAAGGATGCTTTACTTTCTTCTTTTACTTGAAAATTTGGCACTGACATATCTCAGGTAGATATTTATAGTAAATATAATGAGCTCTCCCTGTGAGTAAATTCTTGTGGAGAATAGACCACTAGACAGGCAGATGGGCCAGAATGGAGGCAGAGATTAGTAAAAAGCAGGTATACTAGTAGAAAGGTATACATGTTAGCAGAGAGGTAGGCAGACTGGTAAAAAGATAGGTAAATTTGTAGATAAACATATAAACTTGTAGGTTAAGCAAAAAAGACTAATATAGAGGTAGACTACTAGATAAGCATGCAAAATATCAGAAACTCATTGGGAGAGGGTTGATGAATAGTTTGAAAGATAGATCTACAGACTGACAAACAGTCAAACAGTGAGATGAAGATAAAGTATACAGATGCAAACTGAAATTGTGTGTAGAGAAAGTCAAGGAGAGATATCAGTGTAATAACTTTCTACATTCATAGTTGGCACACAATTTGTTGCATAACAATTCTCTTAGATCTAAATATAAGAGGTAATCTGATTTGTCTAGAAAGTGAAAATTAGTTATGTATAAACCTAAATATGAGTAAAGATGTCAGTTATTGCTCTCTTTTCGTATGCTTCTTTTCTCTTAATTCCCCCCCCCCCCTCCCCCAATTTTTTTTCTTATTTTAATTCTCTGTTTTGTTCTAGGTTTAATTCAATCCCTCTTTCTTTCATTCACCACTCTTATTTCTGGTAATCATTTTCCGAAGTACCTACTGTTTTTTTTTTTTTTTTTTTTAATATATATAACTGTCATCTCAGAATTATAACCTAGACTTACTTCTTCTTCTTTTCTCCAGACCCTGTTCTGCCTTCTTGGAGCCAGCTTCTATCTACTGCAAGCTTGCTCATTCTATTGCAGTCTCAGGAAGTATTTAGCCAGATGGAGCCAGTCCCACTTGGTGAGCCAGAGCCCCTTTAGCCTGAGACTTTGCAGCTTCAGTTTTTCTGGTGTGCTGCGTTTGAAAGTGGGGTTGACTCCGGTGTCCTACGGGTCATTGGCAGGCTACTAATTTTCGTTTTTGAAACTTCGAAGGAAGAGCTAGCAAATCCCAATGCTCCCGACATGCAGTGCCTGGCACATGGGCATTGTCTGTTTAACATTTAGCTACCTGTGTAGGTTCCGCTACCCATTGTGGGGTAAGAATGGATTAGACCCACTGTCCCCAAACAAGCATATCGTAAGAGCTGACTAATCAGATGTGTTTCCTTTAAAGTCGGCATGCATCTGCTTTAGAGGTGAGGAACTAACAGTCTGCATACAAATAAACAAGATCTGTAAAACAGATGTGTACATAAAACTCAAGTTCTGGAAAAAGACGAAAGTCAAGAAGTGGACGAACAACAAGAACTTTTTGTTGAAGTTTACAGCTGATGTAGCTGATGCATTTGGCCATTCGAATTTGTTTTTAAAAATTGCATGTAAATTGTTTTTATGACATCAAATAGATCACATCAGTATTCATTCTGCCAATATGTCAACGTAGTATTAATTCACAAAAGTATTACAGAAACACGTATTTAAAAACAATTCACAAATATTGTTGGCAAGGGATGTACCATTAAAATGATTGCCATCTCTAATTTTGTTTTACTAACATGTTGTAATTTAATGTTTTTTTAAATATTTATCACAATGTCCTTTTTCTTTTTTTTTCTTGCAATTATCTGTGATAAACTATTTTTACACTTTTGTTTTCTTTGCTTTATTGTTGTAAACTAGGGTTGCCATATTTCCTCATTTTTTCTGACACATCCTCATTTCACGAGTAAATCTGAGTGTCTGCAAACAATTTGGAAATTCCTAGATTCTTCCTCAGTTTTACAAAACAAGACAAAATTAACACTGTGACTGTATTGAAATTTATAGGAGTAGTGAAATGTACTCCAAAATCGTGAAGATAGCATAGTTCTTCTTTGCTACTCCAAATTCAAGCACACAATGCTTTGGTAGAAAGGCTATTTTCTGTAACGCCTAATGAGAGAAATTATCTCTGTATGGATTCGGTCAAGTCAATTTCACTTGTAAAATTTAACTTCAAACATTTTACATGCAGTCAATTTGATGGATGTTTGATGCAAAAGAAAGACATGGGCATTTACAGCTTGCTTTTCAGGCGGAACAGTTCAAGAAGCCTTCTCCATGACCACCAGCAGCATGACGATGGAGGTGATGGCGGGGAAACAAGCTTTCATGTGGCTAGAATCACAGGACTATTCCTGCGCGTGTGTGCTGAAAATTTCTTTGAACATGATCTGGTGGGTAGAGGCAGGCTCATTACGCAAACAGTGGCTTGAGTCATTGCAAAACTCTCCTATGTGTGCAGTTACCTTCATATTCGTCCCAGGGTACGCAGGTGTTGTTGGCAATGAAAGAGCTGATAGACTGGCAGGTTCTGCATTAATTGCAAATGAAGGTCCATGGATCACGCAGACATTGTCAGTGCCCTTAGATAGGACGTTTTGAGGATTTTGGATGCAACGTGTCCACATCACTACATCACTACTAAGAATACGAGAATTAGGAGTAAAGATCGGCGCATCTAAGCATGAGAAGCACCCGGACGCACACAAAGTCTTGTCAACCAACATAGGACTGGCACTATTAACCATGCGACGCTGATGGATATGTTGAGAGGGGAATCTGAGCACCTATGGATGTGTCCGGAGTACTGTGAAGAAAATCCAACTCATAACTTAACAAAGACATTCTAAAAAGATGAGGTCCTCAGAGAAATATACATGTAACACAATTTAAATAGAATTTAATATAAAGAGAAGTGTCCTCATTTCTGAACATCAAAATGTGGCAACCCTATATAAACTGTTGTGAATGTATTATTAGTTTTATCGTTAACAGTTCTTGTTTGGTATTGTTTGTTTATTCACTGAGTTGTTGACTGAAAACTGCTGTGCTTTCATTCACTGTGTAACTCTTACACATGCAGCAAGTATTACAATGTTTAGTGCCAGCCCATTCAAACTGTCTATGGTCTGTCACTTTTGGACACTCACACTGTCTCTTGTTGACATTAAATTGGGAGTTATATTTCTGCATTTTTACTCACAGTAGTCCCCCTTTGGCTTCTGAGAACCATTATTGGTGGGGGGGGGGGGAAGGGGAGAGAAGCACACACAACCCCCCCCCCCCCCCCCCCCCCCCCCCCCAATGAGCTTGGTTGAAAAATGTACTAATTGGGTAGGTTTATTTTTCTTCAAAGTCAGACTGCATCTGTTTGAGAGGCAAGGAACCAGCAGTCTGCATACAACTAAACCAGAAATGTCAAATGGATGTGCACACAAGACTCGAGTGCTGGAACAAGTCTTGAGTCCAGAAGTGGATGAACAACCAGAACTTTCTTCTGAAGTATGCAGCCGTGAACACTGTGAAGAAGAAGAAGAAGAAGAAAAAGAAGAAGAAGAAGAATTGCTGGAAAGATTTATACAAAAAGAGATAGAGGAAGACAAGAAAAAATGTTTTTGCCAGTCTTTTATCATTCCATTGGAAAGTATCACCATTGAAAATTTCAGTTGTGGGTTGAGAGATATGGTCCCTGTTTGGGTTCTGAGGTCCCATTTTTGGGGATTGGGGGTGAGAGGGGGGGGGGGGGATGGACCTACTGTCTTCTTAACAAGCATGTAAAAGGCAACTAATTAGGGTTATCTCCTTCAGAGCCAAAGTACATCTGCCTGAGTAACCAACAGTCTGCACACAAATAAGTCAGATCTGTGAAATAAGCCAAATCTTTAAAACAGATGTGTATGCGAAACTCAAGTTCTGGATCAAGACCAAAGTCCTGACATGGACAAACACCCCAGATTTGTCCACTAAACTTTACAGCCAGTGAACACTAAGAAGGAGAACAATTAAGCTGCAGGTGATTTGGCAACAGACAGCCTTACATTGATTTCAACAGTGGTATGGGAAGCTGACTGTTATAGCAATGGCAAACTACTGCTCATAAAACTGACTGGTAAAACCACAAACAACCAACAAATGCTGGCAGTTGGTTTGCACAGTTATGGGATACACAACTAACTTTTATTTTTCTCAATGGAAACAAGAAGGAAATTAGGGAAGAAATGTGGAAAGGGCTCTTTCAGGTATAGCAGCATTTTTCTTCTTCTTCTTTCGTTCGCCTAAAATAAGTTGTCTCTATCAGCAATTTTGTCTCTCGTGTAAATTTCACTGTCGTTGTTAGTTAATTCAGTGGTCCATAGAGTTTACGTTCCACTGTTGTTCTTTCTGGCCAAAAGGTTTGCCTTAATGTGTCAAATTCGGTGCAGTCCTGGAGTACATGCTCTGCTGTCTGGGGCACCTTTCCACAGGTGCACATGGCTGATACGCCTATCTTGAATTTTGTGTACATGTGGTTACCTAATCGGTTGTGCTCTGTTCTGAGGTGGAGGATAATGACTTGCTCTGATCTGTCCATAATAAAACAGGTATAGCAGCATTAAAATATATAATTTTTTCGTCAGCTGCAACAGC